TAACTTATTTGCTAGGTAAGGTGGCACACACCAGCACTTGGGAGGTGAAGGCAGGAGGACTGGATGTTAAAAGACAATGCTGGCTGCATATTGAATTTGAGGTCAACCTGGATTGCATGAAACTATGTCTCAGAAAAAAAAAAAATGGCCAATGAAATGACTCAGCGGGTAAAAGTCGCTCCTACCACAAAGTCTGATGACCTGAGTTAGATCACCAGGACTGACATACTGGAAGGAGAGAATCAACTCCCACAAGTTGTCCTCTGACCTCCACACACACAGTGGCATGCACATGTCTATACACTAAATAAATAAATGTAATAAAAATGGAGGGAAGGAAGAAAGGAAGGGAGGGAGGGAGGGAGGGAGGGAGGGAGGAAGGAAGGAAGGAAGGAAGGAAGGAAGGAAGGAAGGAAGGAAGGAAGGAAGAAACATACAAGTGGCAGATTTTTTAGCATATCAGAACCTGCTACCTGGAGTGGCAGCAGCTTTTCCAAGCCCCTTTGACCCACTTCCCCAGCCTTCTGGAACCCGTGAAAAGCTTTTAGAATGACCTTTCCAGAGACAAAAGAAAAATGAGGAACCCAATAGAGGGATGCTTTTGGAAGCCCTTCTCAAGAAACTCCAATGGACTCTCATATGAACATTTGAAAATTGCCCTGTTCTGACTTTTTTCAAGTTCCCTGTCCAGAACTTATAATGCTAATTATTCTTGCCTTAACTTCTCCTTCACATCTCCTACTCAACGATTTCAAGGACTTTCTTTTCCTCCTTTGAGATAAGAGTTATGCAATTTGGGAGTCTTAGACCCACTGAAGGGGTACTCCAATTGCCTCACCCTGTGTTCCTATTCAGCATGGAAGAAGCCAGAGCAGTTTGCATCCCGATTCCTTATTGGCAAGTTGGGTAACCTCTTCAGAGGATGGTGTGATAAGAATAGAAGGTAGGAACTGGCTAAGCAGTTAGGGTAAAAAGACCCCCAAGACAGCTCTCTGTGAGTTTGAGGCCAGCCTGGTCTACATAGTGAATTGCAGGCCAGCTGTGGATACAGGGAGACCCTGTCCCCAAAACAAACAAACGACTAACTAACCAACTAACTAACTAAGCAAGAGGCAGTCTAGATGGGTCAGCAGGTAAAGGTGCCTTCAGCCAAGCCTGAGGACCTGAGTTCAATCCCTGGAACTCACATGGTGAAAGGAGAGAACTGTCTCCTACAAGTTGTCCTCTGACCTCTAGAAGTTCATGCTGTGGCATGCACACACCAGCCTCTCAGAAATAAAATATTAAAAAAAAAAAAAAGCCAGGCGTGGTAGTGCACACCTTTAATCCCAGCACTTGGGAGACAGAGGCAGGCAGATCTTTGTGAGTTTGAGGCCAGCCTGGTCTACGTAATGAGTTCCAGGACAGCTGGGGCTACGAGGAGATCCTGTCTCAAAAAGACAAAAAAAAAAGACCCCAAAGAAAAGTATCCAGTTTCTTGGCTAAAAGTCAAAATGTCCTTGGGCCTCTTAGCAACATACTCTGTTCCAAAGGCCAAAAATGTCGAAAGTATTTGGGAGCTTGTATCTAATCCTTAAAAGATTTTAGGGATACCTCTTCAGAAGGAGGGGGGTGTTAGAGTAGCCAAAATCCTCATAAAAATAAATCAAAGAAGAAGAAAGAATACACGAAGTTATCAGAAAAAAGTGATGGGGAGATACGGGAGGACTTGGAGGGGAGGGAGTGGGTATGGATTTGATCAAAACACCTTATATGCATGTATGAAATTCTCAATAAATTATTTATTTAAATTAAAAAAAAAAGAATGACCCTTCCAGAAGCCAGCACTTGGGAGGTAAAAAGAAGCAGTAGGATAGCCACAAGGTTGAGGCCAGCTTGGGCTACATAGTGAATTATAGGCCAGTTTGGGCTACAATGTGAGACCTCATCTCAAAAAAACAAAAAGAGGAAGAAGAGGAGGAGGAGAAGAGGAGGGGAAGAGGGAGGAGGAGGGGGAGGGAGAGCACTCAGACAGCAGCCAAGAGCACAGGGCCAAATAGAGCCCCTAGCACACCCTTCAGACATCCATCTCCTCTGTTGTTGTTCTGTCCCCTCCCTGGTCCCCTTCCCAGTGCTCTGTGCCTCCTCAGGCTCCTCCTCCTCTGTCCTCAGACTTCAATTTTGGGCCTTTCCTTTTTTTTTCTTAATACTTTATTTATTATTTTCATTTTATGTGTATGAGTGTGTTTGCACGTGTGTAAGTGCACCCTTGTCATGCAGTGCCCACAAAGGTCAATAGAGGGCGTTGGATTCCCCTGGAACTGGAGTTACAGATGGTTGTTAGTCACCATGTGGGTACTGGGAATCAAACCCAGGACCTCTGCAACAGCAATCAGCGCTCTTAACGGCTGAGTCATCTTGCCAGCCCCAGCCTTTCCTTTCTAACTGCTTCACTGACCATGTGTCCACCCCCTACCCCCCATCCCCAGCTCCGGAAGCCCTTCCTATGTTCCCTTCTGAGCACAAGATGAACTCCAAGGCACTCAAACCCTGTTTGACCTAACCCTGGCCCCTCATGTCCCTCCCTACACATTCTAACCACCCTTTACTTCTGCCAAAAAAGCCACCTCCACCTTTGCCAGGTTAAAATCTTGGGATCTTCTTTAAGCCACTTAAAATCTCATTTCTCTGTCTTCACTAGACTTTGAGCAGAGACCAGGTGACTCTTCCACATAGCCACAGCACCTAGCCTTCCACAGCACCAAGACTTCCTCCCCCAGTACTGCTTCCTACCTAGCACTACTGAGCACTGTCCAAAGAACTGTGAGCTACCATGTCTTCATAAAGGAGTCATTTTATAGGCCGGGCGTGGTGGTGCATGCCTTTAATCCCAGCACTCGGGAGGCAGAGGCAGGTGGATCTCTGTGAGTTCAAGGCCAGCCTGGTCTACATAGTGAGTTCCAGGACAGGACAGCTGGGGCTACAGGGAGACCCTGTCTCAAAAAGACCAAAAAAAAAAGAAAAAGTCATTTTATGTTAGTGTATACAATGATACCACAACAATAGAAGTAAGATTTATTATCTTCATTTTGTAGATGAGTAATGAAGTGTAGAAATGTAAAGAAACTTCCCCAAGGAGTTAGAAAATGGAGAAGGTCAGGTTGTCAAGAGGGCTCAGCAGGTAAAAGTACTTGCTGCCACCCCAGAAAACATGAGTTCAGTCCCTAGGACCCACATGGTGGAAGGAGAGGACTGACTCCTACAAATTGTCCTCTGACCCTCACGGCATCTCAAATTATGCCCATGAGTCTGAAATGAGAGAAGGCAAGTATGACTTTAGGTCCCTCTGAGCCTCAACATAGAAACCTGGTAGAAAGAGACTGAGCTGACACCCAAGTGAAGGAACCCAAGAAGGAGACCAACCTAGACCACAGAGCCACCACCAGACAACAACCCCAGATATCCTAAGTTGGCATTGTGATGAGCCTTCACTTGGATGAAGCAGAAATACGCCCTCTCCTGACTGCCTCAGGCATTGTATGTCATGGGTGCACCTACCTACATGCAAGCAATACATTCATGCACATAAAATAAAAATAATAAATAAAATATTTTTTTAGAAATATCCGACATGCACTTGGGAGGCAGAGGCAGGCGGATCTCTGTGAGTTCAAGGCCAGCCTGGTCTACATAGCGAGTTCCAGGACAGCTGGGGCTACAGGGAGACCCTGTCTCAAAAAAAAAAAAAAATTCAACATGGTCTGGAGAGATGACTCAGTGGTTAAGAGCACTGGTTGTTCTTCCAGAGGACCTGGGTTCGATTCCTAGCACCCACCTGGTGGCTAACAACCATCCATACCTCCAGTTCCAGGGGATCTGATGCCCTCTTCTGACCTTCATGGGCATTGCATGACATGGGTGCACTTATATACATGTAGGCAGAACACTCATACACATAAAAATAATAAATAAAATATTTATGCATGTATGAAATTCTCAATAAATTATTTTTAAATAAAATAAATAAATACATAATAAAATATTCAAGTCGGGCGTGGTAGTGCACGCCTTCAGTCCCAGCACTCGGGAGGCAGAGGTGGGCAGACTGTTGTGAGTTCAAGACCAGCCTAACCTACATAGCAAGTTCAGCTGGGGCTACAGTGAGACCCTGTCTCAAAAAGATCAATAATAATAATAATAATAAAAATGCCCAACAAGAAGAAACTTAAGGAAGAAAGAGTTTATTTTGCCTCACAGCTTGAGGGTTCCAGTTCATCATGGTGAAAAGGGCAAGAGGAACAGGAAGAAGCTGGTCGCTTTGTATCCACCATCCGGAACTAAAGAGAAATGAAAACTGGCATTCGGCTTGTTTTCTCCTCTCTCTATAGTCCAGGACCCATGCAATGGCATTGCCCACATTTAGAGTGGGTCTTCCCACCTCAATTAGCTCAATCTAGAAACCATCAAAGACTTGCCTAGAGACTTGTCTTAGAGATGATTCTAGAGCCTGTCAAGTTGATAATCAGTATTAACCATCATAAGTGCCCTGGTTCAGATAGACTAGGCACAACCCACAGAACAGAGGTGAGGTCAAAAACCATAATCAGAGGCAGCTGGCAGCAGGATTCTGCCCAGGGAGACCATCACTGATTGAGGATGCTAGTCCAGCCTGCCTGGGGCCAAGGTGGACACAGTGGGTTGTCCTCAGCCAGAGGAAACAGCTCCCTAGCAACCAGATCCCAGAGGAAAGAGATGTTCAGCAACTCACTCAGAATCCTGAGTCACCCCTCCCATTGGCCCCACCATTTTTAAGTACTCTGTACTAAGGAGAACCAACACCTCTGGGGGGTGGGATACAGGGATACTATAGGACAAAAGCTGAGATCATACATGTTACCTGTGTCTCTAATAGAACCCCTCCCCACGAGCTCATGATTTGATGAGTACCCAGTTTCTTTTCAGAAGGCATGAGCACTCAGAAGACAGCATCTTCTCTAAAATTGCCAGGGCCAAGCACTCACTCTCATTGGCTCGTCAGGGAATCCAGGTTTACTGGGCCTGTCCTGCCGCAGGGACCTCAGAAGCTGTTTGGCCTGCTTTTCCGTCAGAATGGGAGAGGCCTCTGAAAAGAATTAGAAAGGGCTTTGAGGGACTCCCAGGCCCAGGAGTCCACACTCCATCTCCACAGTCCAGAGCAAAGAATTGGCAAGTTTCATCTCGATTCTTTCCTAGAGAATATGTCCCAAATGATGTGGAAATCCAGAAGGCAAGGGAATTTTTTTCTACTAGAGTTAACTCAAAGCAAAAGATCCACAATTTAAAGCTATTTGCCTACTGCTCTGGTCCATTTCTTTTAAAGTAGGCATTATGTAATGAATTGTTTGCTTGTTTTTGTTTTGAGGCAGGGTCTCGAGTATATCCCAGGCTGGCTTTGAACTCATTGTGTAATTAGGATGACTTTGGAATGCCTTGAACTTCTAAACTTCTCACCTCCCATCTGTATGGGATTAAAGGTGTTTGCCACCACACCCAGTTAATGGGGTCCTGGGGATGCTAGGCAAGCACCCCACCAACTGAGCTGCATCCCCAGACCTGAAAATGGTTTTTAAACCTATTTTCTTCCCGTTCTCTTGCCTATAACAGTAAGACGATGTTAAACTCGATCATCATATCTTCCTCTCAGAGCAAACATGGTAACAAAATTCTTTTGGGGTAATCACAGGCAAACATTAAAAGATACTAATATAATAAAAGTATATCAAACTTCAGTGATCTTATACCAAGAAGGTATAATTGAAAGTTTAGCAGCATTTTGGAAAATTAGTACTCAAACACATTTAAAGGCTTTAAAAAGAAATGGTTATTTAGCTGAGCAAGATGGCTCATACCTTTAACCCTAGTTCTCAAGAGGCAGAGGCAGTCAGATCTCTGTGAGTTATGAGGCCAGTCTGGTCTATACAGCAAACTCCAAGCCAGCCAGTGCTACAGTGAGACCTTATCTCAAAAAACCACACAGACAAAAAGGTGATTTATGCCTTATGACTCTAACAAGAAGCTTCCTCTAACAAACACAAAAGCATCAAAATCTCTAGACAATCTACACTATATATTATCTGAAATGAAAAAACTATTTTTCAATACCCAAAACACTTAGAGCAGGTGATCTCATTGGTGTAGAAATACGCTGTGTTCTTGGAGTAAGACCTACCTGAGGAGAAAGCCAGCAGGGTGAGAGTGAGGACCAGTGCAAGCAGCTTCTCCATGGTGCCTGGCTCCTCTCTGCCTCTCCGCTGACTGACCTCTCCCAGCAGAGCCTGCCTCTTTGAGGGAAGCCCTGTCAAGTCCGATGCCCTGTAGGCTTTGAAGCACAGGGCTCCCTGCTTGATGTTAAGTGTGTCTGACTAGGAGTTTGCAATAATGATTGTTAAAATATTTCTCTCCGAATCCTATGAGCTTTTATCCTGAGGCCAGAAATTATCCTCTGCAATGTGACTTCCTGAGCTCGGTTTTGAGAGCGCTGCATGCAATATTCACTTCATGTAAACAGATCTGTCAGGCACATTCTGTTGTCATTTCAGAGTATTTCTCTGAAGCTTTGGCTTATTTTCTGTTTCACAGACCATTCATCATTTCTTTTTAAACATTGTGTGTGTGTGTGTGTGTGTGTGTGTGTGTGTGTGTGACAACACAGGTGTGGAGTGGAGGTCAGAGAACAGCTTGTGGGAGTTGGTTCTCTTCTTCCACCATGTAGGTCCTGGGAACCAAATTCAGGTTGTCAGGCTTGGCAGCAAGTGCCTTTACCCACTGAGCCATCTCTCCAGCCCTAATCATCTCTTACATTTGCACATTTTATGACATTTTCCCCAAACCCATTCACCAATCTAATTACACAACACAGACACAGACACACACACACACACACACACACACACACACACTCACTCACTCACTAATAATTTCAGATGTAGGTAAAGAATCAAGCAGGGGCATGATAAAGGACAGCAAGGTGGGGGTGGATTTTCAATGCCAGGCTTGGTTGGTGGTGCATAGAAAACTAATTTAATTCCAGCACTCAGGAGGCTGAATTGGGGGGAGGGGGGTCTCTGTGAGTTAGAGACCAGCCTGGTCTATATAGCAAGTTCCAGGCCAGCCGGGGCTACCCAGTAGTATGACTCCATCTCAAAAAAAGAAAAGATTTTCCACCTGATTTTGGAGCCAGAAAGACCAGTGTTCAAACCTCAGTGTCACCTCAAAACCTCAATATCACCTCAAAACCTCAGTGTCACCTCGCAAACCCCAATGTCACCTCTCTCTAGCACTGTAAGTTGCTTAGCTTCTCTGAACTTCTTTTTTCTCCTCTAAGAAAAAGGAGCTAACAGATGCATCTTGTGGAGTGTGATAAAGGATGCAGGACAAGCCCTGGCCTTCACAGTGGCAGTGGCAGCTGCTGTTAGCCATTAATTCTTGAAATTAAGGAAACTGAGATCCAGAGATATGAAATCAAGTCCCAGTTCATACACGGATGCTGGAGGGTGGGAGGAGGTGTCTCTTCTTTCTTCAAGCCTATGCTGTGTGCTTTTCCCGTTATGCCCCCTGCTACAGCTCAGATGTGGACTGCTTCCCAAAAGCCCACGTGGCTACAAAAAGGGAGGGTTATTGCCCCCCCCCTCTCTCTCTCTCTCTCTCGGTTGTTTGCTTTTTAAAAGATTTATTTATTTTTATGTGTATTCGTGCTTGCCTGCATGTATCTAAGTGCATCATGTGCCTGCCTAGAGCCTGAGGAGATCACCCATCAGATCCCCTGAAACTGAAATTACAGACAGTTTTGAGCCGCCATGTGGGTGTGGGAACTGAACCTGGGTCCTCTGGGAGAGCAGCAAGCACTCTTAACCACTGAGCCATCTCTCCAGCCCCTCCTCCCTCTCTTTTGCTCCTGGCTCATGAAGTGAACTATTCTGTTCCACTCTGTGTTCCTACCATGATGTGTAGGCTCAAAACAGCATGGCCAAACTTTCATGGGCTAGAACCTCCAAAACTGTAAGCCAAAGAGACCTTTTCTCTTTTTTAATTGATCCCTTCACATATATCAGTACAGTAACATAAACTGACTGACACCCATAATCTCAGAGCTGTCCCTTCCTCTTACATGGGGCCTTAGCCAATATGCCATCAGCAAGACCAAAATCAGCCTTAAGCAGACTGAAGGCTATTTTGTCAAAGATAAGAAAATCTTCCTGGTGTGGGGGCACACTTCTGTAATCCCAGCACGTGGGAGGAAGAAGCAGGAGGACCAGGAGTTCAAGGTCATCCTCTATTTCTTAGGAAGTTTAAAGGCAAGTATGGGTTTCATGTGACTTTTCAAAGAAAAGAAGAAAGAAAGAAAGAAAGAAAGAAAGAAAGAAAGAAAGAAAGAGAGAAAGAAAATTCTCAATATGCTCCTGAAATCCTCTGAAATTCATTAATAAATATCATATGAAGAAATTATTACATCTACTTATTAAAACATATCTAGAAGGGATGCACATTTATCTGTATAAAACTCCATTCAGAAAAATAATATGTTTCTATGGTCACTTAGCCAGCTCAAAAGAAAATAGAACCTGACCTGCAGTTGTTGGAGTTTATGCTAATGCATGGTAAATGATATTAAACTGAAATGTTCTCAGAAAGAAAAGAAGGAAGAAAAATAAACAAAATTTCAAAACCAAACTATCCTGCCACATGGTTGGTATGCAGATATTTTGAGCAGCCGGTAAACAAGGAAAGGAGTCACTTTGTCAGCAAAAATGTCTCAAATGCACATTTCCCAAAATGCGGTGTTAGGTTTTAGGCATTCTGCTGCTTTTAGCAACCTTCTGTGTTTATACTGTTTTCATAAACCAAGGAATTTTAGAGCATTATTTTAGAAATATATATATTTGTCACATTAATTATTTGGGGTTTTTTTCAGGCCTGCAAGATGGCTACCAAGTTTGATGCCCTTGATCCCTGAGACCCACATGATTCAAAGAGAGAACTGATTCTCTGACCACCACGCTTGTGCTATGGCTTGCTTGCAGCCTTATGCACACATATATGCACAACTACACAAATAAGTGTAATAAAAAAATTAAGTCTCTTGGGTTTTTTTTTTTTACTTTTTATTTTCTGTGTATGAGTGTATTGCCTGCATGTAGTTAGGTGCGCCCATGTCCTGCAGTGCACACAGAGGTCAGAAAAGGACGGCAGATTCCCTGGAACTGGAGCTACAGACGGTTGTTATCCGCCATGTGCATGCTAGGAATTGAACCCGGGTCCTCTGCAAGAATAGTCAGTGCTCTTGATCAATGAGCCATCTCTCCAGCACCAAGTATCTTGTTTTATATGTAGTATTCATTTTTCATTTCTTTTGTTCTTTGTGATTGGTTAGAACACTACGTGGCTTTGTTATAAACTTCCATCAATTAGAAAAAAATCTGTACCTTATACTTTGCTAGAAACCTCTAAAATGTTCAGTATACATTCACTCTGAAAGCATTTCTCTAATCTGGTAACTTCTGTCTGATAAAAAAAAATACTGTGGCTGGGTGTGGTGCCGCATGCCTTTAATCCCAGCACTCGGGAGGAAGAGGCAGGCGGATCTCTGTGAGTTCAAGGCCAGCCTGGTCTACATAGTGAGTTCCAGGTCAGCTGGGGCTACAAAGAGACCCTGTCTCAAAAGACCAAAAAATAAATAGGGAGGGAGGGAGAGAGAACTTTTGGGGAGGAGGGTGCTGAGACGAGGTTGCATGTAGCCCAGGCTGACCTTGAACTAACTCCTCAACCTCTTGCTCTCACCTCTCAAGTCTGGGGTTACAGGTGTGTGCCACCATAACCCAGCTCCAGAAACTATTTTTGGAAACAGGATCCCATGTATCCCAGGCTGGTGAACTCTATGTAACAGAGAATGATCATGATCCCCACCTTCTGATCCTCCTGCCTCCTCCTCCCAAGTGCTGGGATTATAGGAGTGCATCACCATGTCTGTTTTTTTGTTTTTTGTATTTGGAGTTTTTTTGTTTGTTTGTTTGTTTTTGTCTTTTTGAGACAGGGCCTCCCTGTAGCCCCAGCTGTCCTGGAACTCACTATGTAGACCAGGCTGGCCTTGAATTCACAGAGATCCACCTGCCTCTGCCTCTCAAGTGCTGGGATTAAAGGCCGTGCGCCACCATGCCCGGCTACCATGTCTGTTTTTATGCAGTGCTGGGGGTCAAAATCAGGCCTTCATGCATGCTAAGCAAGCACTCTACCAACTGAGCTGCATCCTCAGCCTCCGGAAGCTTCTTAAGAAAAGTAAAATATAAACCAGCTATTTCTGGACTAGTTCACATTCCCTTGGTCACTACTGAGTCAGACCTTCAAACTCTGGTGTATTCTATACTTTCACATATCAAGTGCTCAGCCACTGTGTATGGCTGGCTGCTGAACTAGACGGCATGCCTGTGGTCTTCCATCTCCTTTGCTGTGCATCCCACTGTCCCAGCTCACCCAGCTTCTGCACTAGGTTCTCAGCTGGTCTCCCAGCTCCCTTGTTCCCACTTCAATCTATCCTCCATGCTGCAGCAGTGATGTTTGCCAACAAACAGAAACTTTATCATCTTCCCACTGGACTCAGAACAAAACCAGCTCCATGCATGTACTACAGGACCTTGGGCTATCTGTGCCTTCACTCTACCACTTCCCTCCAGTTCACTGCAATCACTCACCTTCAACTTAACGCTTTCCTACCTCAGGACCTTTGCATGTGCTCTTTTCATGACTTCCCCCTTTTCACCCTTTAGGTTTCAACTTGAAATTTCTCCTATTCAGTCAAGTCCCTGCCTTCTACCCCCATTTCTATCAATTGTTGTCAATGTACCATAATTTGTTAATATCATATTTGTTTACTTTTTAAAAGCTGTCGCTTCCACTGTGCTGTGAAATCTAAGTTAGCTTGTATTATTTCTATGATGGTCTGGGGAGATGACAGTGGATAATCAGAGCCTGTATCATACCCTGGGAAGAAAGGATCCTACATGTGTGACTGTAGATCCATTCAAGCGCCTTTCCGCTTGGCCTCTGGAAATACCCCAAAGTGGGGAGGGTGCTATAGGAAGATGGAAAGAGCAAGTCTCTCTGTCACTCTGGTGAGAATTCTCTTCTTCCTTTCCCCATTCCCAGATAAAACCAGCAGCAGCTGGATAATTACCTCTCAGTAGAGGATGCAATTCCCAATATAGCCACAAGGTGGCAGAGTAGAGCGCAG